AGAGGTGTTGAGTCATTTAAGTTGGGAGAGACAAAAGAAAAAAAGATATATGGAGATAAGAAGAGACAGAGAGGGGGAGAGAGAATGAGTGAGAGGAAGAGAAAGAGACAGGGAGTAAGAGGGAGATACAGAGAGAGAGAGAGAGAGACAGTGAGAGAGAGAGGCAGGGAGAGAGACAGAGACAAGCGAATTTGCACAGCAATATAGAGAAAGAGAAACTATAAAATAATTGAAAATGTCAAAAATAAATATGTATAATTCGCAGGAATTACATACACATCAGTCGAATTTATTTGGATTTAAAATTCAAGAATGTTTGAGAAACGTTGAAAATCAATTAATTCGAGCTGGGCTTAGTTGGGCCCATTAGCAATTTATATGGAAGTAAATGTCACATGAATAAATCAGGCTTAAGCCAGAAAGAGATGAGAATGCAGTTCGGCTGCTGTGCGCCACAAATGGTGGCAGCAACAGAGCGTGGCGACGGCTCAATTAGAAAACGAAACGCGCAACAGCGATTTGATGGATCATTTAGAAAACTGAAAACTGAAAACAGAAAACTGAAAACTAAAAACTAAAAGCTCAGCGAGCATTTAAATGTAGCATGTGACATTTGCTTGGGCTTGCAGCTGGAATCTGCAAATCAAATGTACATCTAGCATGCATTCAACCAATGCCACGCCCACAAACACACACACACACACATGCTGGGGAAGTGGGAAGTGGGTTGCAAGAAGAAGAATTTAGCCACTGCAATTGAATTTGGTGTTCAATTTATTTGGCGCAACAATTGTTTTGGCATTAAAAGTGTGCAATAAAAAACGAGATGGAGGAGCGTACGGTAAAGCCTGTGAATTGATGACCCTATTGTAGTTGTTGCTACTGGCATTGCTGGTGTGGCATGCCACGTTCGCCTCTTGCCATCCATCACACTCAAAGTGAAATAAATTGAAACTAATACCAAAAGGCAATCAATGTTTGTACCATTGTTGCTGCTGCTGCTATTTGATGTTGCTGTTGCTGTTCCCAGTTGTTGCTGCAGTTGTTGTTGCAACAGCTGTTGTCGTTGGCTGGCCGCGTCACTGTTACTTTCCCAAACAACTTGAAAATCCTGTTTGCTTTGGCATTCATTTGCCAAAGTCAAAGTCACTTTTGGACACATCCAGCTTGTTTGGCGGAGGCGGCTGGCAGCAGCGGGGGTGGGTAGAGGGGGGAGGGGCTTTGCTTGGCGGCAAACATGGAAAGTCAAGTGGCGTTTGGTGAAACTGTTCACCAAATGCACATTTTCTGGAGCAACTGGCTCAATTGCCGGGCTGCCGGGCTGCGTCCATCTGCGTAGCTCAGCTCACTTTCTATGCTCTTACCCACAAGTCGCAGACAGATCTTGACAGCGAGAGCGCGTTCCAGCATCGATTGAACAACAACTGCAACTCGAACCACATACAAAGTTGGCCTCGAATGACTAGTTGAGCTGTCCAACTAGCAAGGAAGCCGAGTGCTTTCTGGACCAATTAGTGGGTGATGTCGTCTGTTTTAATGCAACGATTGAGTGCATCAGGCAGTCAATCAAGCAGCTTAGGCTTAATATGAGGAACTATGTTTTCAACTAGGCCAATATAATCAATCAATCAATGATTGAGTTGAACAAGTAAGTTTGTAAAGCCCATCAATTGAATATTTCGCTCTTATAGAAAGGGCAAAGCTGTGGCAGTTAATCAGTCCGTCAGCTTGTCTAGCAGTAAGTCCATCAATCAATAAGTGTGAAGTATAAATACTTAAATTACCAATTGTATAGCAGGAAGTCTGTATCACTCAGTCAGTCAGTCAATCAAGCAGCTAGATGATAAATTTGATAAAACAGTTTACAAATATAAAATATGCTGTGAATTTAAATTGAATGATTATAAAACAATATATAGTCGTGAGTCAGTCAATCACTTAGTCAATCAAGCAAGCAGTCAAACCACAACTAACGATTATCAATGGGTCAATGAATGGTTCTTAGTTTAAAATTCTATTAAGCTGTCAATCAGTCAATTAAGATATAAATTGAAATATCGCAATATTGGAAAAAAAAAACTTAGTTTAAATGAATTGAATCTTGAATGGAAAACTTTTTGAAATATAATATAAATGTAAGAGCTTTGTAATTTATTTAGCTCTTAGTTAATAAATGTTAATTAACTGCGGAAAAGGGCTTAAAGTCGAGATTATGGTTAACATATAATTTTTTTCTTTTTCATTTTTTTGTTGTTCTTTTTTTTTTTTTGTAATTACTAATGAAAAAAAACATAGTATTAAAATGCATAATTTGTCCTTTTACATTTTCTTATTTAAATATTCATTTAATAAAATCAATTGATGTTTGATTTACGATTAAATTTAAAATGCAATTATTATTATTTTTTTTTCTATATTTACTTTTGCTAATTAAATGGTGCCATAGGTGGTCTAGTAGAATGCTGGAATGTAATCGAATCGAATCATTTACTGTCTCTCTGTCTATCTCTATCTATCTCTATCTATCTCTCTCTCTTTCTCTCGCACACACTTTCTCTTTTTCGAACGGTTTTTGCTGACTCTGGTTAATGCAATAATACTAACGATTTTCCGTACCCCTGACAATATGTCAACCCAAATGCTGGACTATAATTAACATTCACATGAGTCGAATTAGTATGTGTGTGTGTGCGGGTGTCGTGTGTAAGCCACCAATAGTCGCATAGAACCCTTTGGCGACACGTCGTTTTTAATAGTCAAAGTGACATGCTAAGCTGATTAACTCTAATCTAAAGTACGAACCCGCCGAACCAAAAGAATAACAGACACACAGAAAGCTGAGGGATCCAGAAGGAGAGAGAAATAGAAAAAAAAAAGACAGCACAGCCACTAACACCACAAAATCCAGAGCTGGAGTCACGAATAGGGTTTTTTTTTTTAAATCTGTTTACATTCGTCAACAATTTTGCGGGCAAAATGTTAAATAGAATATGTTGGAAAAACTGTGAAAAATCATCTAATGCATTTAAATATTGTGACAGAGATGCATGAATTGGTTAGAATTTAATGTGAGTTGAAGAAGACTAGTAGTTAAATATTTAACATAATGTTAATAGCTCTAAACTAACATAATTGCATATTAATTGCACGCTTTCAACTGATCTCTCTTAATCCTTACAATAATCCCATGTTATGTTCATAGCAAGCTTTAACATTGACTTGACAGGTACAGCTTCATCACTGTCAAATAGGCAAATGGCTAGCAGCGCCACTTCGCTTAACAGAGAAAAATGAACAACTGTAAATGTAATATCTACTTGACTAACAGAGCATTGTTAACAGCTGCTCGCTAACAGCGTTAGATTTTTGCTTTTAGTAAGGAGAGTTAACAGAGGTACATGCAATTTAAAATTTAGTCAATTCATTCAAATCAAATCATTCCCGAATATATTTAGACAATATATATTTAATTATTTAATTATAGCTCTTATGCCCGAGTTGATTCACAAAGTCCCCATGCCCTAAGTCAGTGCAACAGCTTGTCTGGTCTTTAACATGCAGTCAGTGTCACCGTTGTAGTTGATGTTGGAATCGTAGCCGGAGTCGGTGTTGGAGCTGAAGTTGGATTCGGGTGCTGGGAGATGTGTTCTTTTGCCTGTCTTCCGTTCGCTGTTCGCTGTTGGCTGTCCGATGTCTGTTGTCCGCTGTCTGGTGTATGCTGCTCTTATCTTTGACTAATTTTATTCTATGTGTTTTGATAGCGTTCGCGTCTCGTGTGGCTTTTGTTCGGGAATTCCGCTTAGGTTACGGCTAAGGCTGCCTCTTTGGATGCGATGGGGTTTGGTAGAGTGCCACAAGGACACAAGGACACCGAAATAAGCAGCTTTATTTTGTTGCATTCAAAATAGTTTTACTAAGGTATTTCGCGTGCTAAAAAGGGAAATTTACCACTTTTTTCTGTTCTTTCTTAAGATGTGCCTTTAAGAGCAATCTCGAAATTCGGTAGTCTCAAAGAAATCAGTAGATTGCAAAGCTAAACATGATTTGAAAACATTTTCGTTTTATTTTTTTTCGCCTTAGATAAGTGAGAGGGTTGTTGGGGATGTGAGTTTAGTGGATAGAGTAAGGCTTTGACAGCTTCAGATTTTTTTCTTCCTTTAAAAACGTTTTGTTAATATATTGAAAGCGTCTGATTGAAATGGGGCTTATCAGTTGAGGTAATAACAAACAACGAACTGATTGCATGATTTATAACATTTACATATGTAAATGCAGAAGATTACTTGAAATTTGATGAGTTAAAGTCATCCTGAATGAACGAGTTTATGATCTTCAATATCATATCAACAAATATAATACTTAATCATTTATTATTTATTGGGTAACCAAGACACTCTGAGTATCTGAATATAAACTAGTCTCTTCATGGACTTTAATATAATAAAATGTAATCTTAATTTAAAATCTAGATAAAGAATATAGAAGCAAAATTTGACTGTGGTTCATCTGTGTCATAGATGCACTTTTACACCTGGCAGCTGAAAGTAAGACACCCATCATGCTCATGCACATGCATTCAGATAGAGGCAAGCATCTAAGCACAGCCCAGCGACATTTGCAGTCAGCGTTAAAGTGTTGCAGGGAGGTGGTGGAGGAGGGAGTTTGTTTTAGTTTGAGGCGCTGCCAGCTTGAGCAGACATTAGACGAGGGGAATTTGTCAGCTTAAAGGTGGTGGGACTGGAGGGGAGAAGGAGGTGGAGGGGTGAGAGGTATGAGGGGCTTATGTGTATGTTGTCCAACTGTTAAACAGTGGCCAAATGCAAGTCCATAATTTGGGCGCCAGTTTTCACCACACGGAGTGGAGAAAAGTGGTCAAACCAGTGTCTGCACGAGGCGCAACGATTTCCATCGGCTTCGGCTGCTGCTGCTGCTACTGCTGCCGGCTTCGCGCTGCTGGCGTCGCATCGACGGCATTATCAGGTCCAGGCAGCGGCGTCGACTTCAGTAGCAAGCGAGCGCTCAGCGTGTGAACACGTTGTCTCTGGCAGCAGCAGTAGAACCAGTGGTAGAACAGTCATAGCATAGTGTTAGTCACTGTTTACATGTGAACGGTCGCAGTCACTGTGAAGCGTCGCGTATGTTTCTAATACAAACTGACATAGAGACACATGTACATATGCACACACACACACACACACACTTATACACATACATATATGTATATGTATATTTGTATATAAACTTTTTTTTTCAAGTGATTTTCAAGTGCTTTTCGCGCGCGTTTTTCATATGCCACGTGCTGCATGTTTGTTTGTTTGTTTGTTTGTTGTGCTTGCACGTATGTTTCTGTGTGTGTGTTAGCAACTTTAATAACTAAAGAAGAAAACTGCATTTCTGTTGTTGTGTTGTTGTTGTTGTTGTTGTGAAAGTGTTTTCTATATTGTTCAAGCCTTTGTTAATTAGCCAAATAGCTTAGGCAGCGCGAGTAGATTTAGTTAGCGGGAAAGTCCAGTTTTAGCTCTGATAAACAATTCTAAAACTAACAAAAATACGGAGCAAACTAAATACAAATTAAGTAATTAAAGCGGAATGGAAAAAGTTTCACAAAAAGGATTTTGTGTTTTGGTTTATTTTGGGCAAAAAAAATATACAAAAAATACAAGAAAAAAAATAAATAAATACAAGAAAAACTTTAAACTTTTTAATATAAATGGAAATGGAAAGCAAAAACTGTGAAAAAAGCAGAGTGTTTTTGTTGTTGTTTTGATTTGCTTTTGTTTTGGTTTTTCGGTTATCACTCAAAGGATTTTTCGCATTTGCGCCTTAAAAGTTTTTTTTTTTAAATTATTTTATTTTTTTTTTTAAATTTAAGTGCTTGAGCTTTATTTTGCAAACGCTCAAAATTGCTTAAATATTTTATTTGAGTATGTTAGATATACATATATATATATTGCTGATCCTCATATGTCCTTAAGATCCAGGCGAGGTTAATGCACTTATGATATTCTATTTCAACTATCTGTTGGGGCTATTTTATCTAACATCTTGATAGTTTTATTTTCCTGTCTACTTTATAAGCACTCAGAAAAAATTGGAGATTTGAAGTAGGTCTAAAAATTGTATGTAAATATATGTAAATAGTTTGTAGTTTAGACCAAATCCAAATTCATCCTACAATTTATCAGTTGGTCAGAAACCAATTAATACTAGATTTTTAAATCATCTCTCAAATTGTATGTATCGATATTTTTCTGCTACAACTATCTCCCTCTCTCTAACTCTCACTCCTTTGCCTCTATTATTTGTTTCTCATCTTTGTCCCTATATCTCTATCCAGCTCAGTTTTTATACCATTTTATTCAATTGGAGTTTTCCTTTTTTTTTTTTTTTAACAATTCAAAGTCGATTTCCCCACCAATATAGAAAATTTGAAGTGTTTTCGAATTATAAATGCATCAATTAAAACTAGTTTTTCCTTTTCATATCACAAAAAAAAAAAAAAAAAAAAAAAAAAAAGATTTTGTACTGCAATACTTGTCGGTGGCTTTCACTGCCCGAGGCTCTGCTGTGACAGGCTTCATAATTACGTTTATGCCTTGTAAGCAAAGAGACCTGAAAATGGGCTTTGATAAAGCTTCATAGAATACATAAACTGATATGAACTATTACCTATCCATACCTACATATACATATATAGAGCTGCATACCCTAGTTGCCCATTTCTATGAGAGCTTTCTATCTGGAATCACTTTAAAATGAATTTTACTCCCGCTGTGCGTATAAAAACAGATTGCACATTATATAAAATCACGTTTTCTCCTTCAAATTGCATTAGCGCCCTTCTTTGCAATTCTCATACCCTAGCTTTACGTTGTTCTGAAAATTTCATTACATGTTGTTTGTTTCCTTGCTCGTTTTCTGTTTAGCGCACTTCGTTCCATTGAAAATCTTATTGTCATTTCATTTGATTAAAATTTTCATAATGCGCATCCTGTGAGCATTTCACAACTAAGGCCAACAACAACAACAACAACATCAGCAGCAGCAGCGAGGGCAGCAGCAACAAAGTGAGTCTCCAAAAAAATTTTGCGTGTCCCGCAGGCAAGAGCTCTCTAAATGAGTGTGTGTGTGTGTGCGGGTGTGAGCAGAGGGATAAAAAACTGAAAATGTGCCGCAACATTTGCGATTGGCATCTTTTTTATATTATGCTTATATCTTCTTTTTTCAATCTCCATTATTCGTTTGCTGTTGTCGCTGCAATACCCTGTAGTTAATACTATGTATGCAAAGGTGGCCTGACCAAGTGTAGCAGGCATGCAGACAGAGTGAGATATTTCATTATATATGAGAATATCGATAGATAGACATGTTAGCTATAGAAGATACCCTGTAAATGTTATAGGCTTGAACATAGCTTGAGAAAGTGACAAAAAGTAATATATTTAAATACCCTGCAATTTATTTGTTCTATGCAATCTATATCAAATGAAATATTGATATACCCTACAATGTATAGGTTGGGTATTCGGTGTATATTCTACTGAAATGCCCTGAGCTTGTATATAAATTGTATATATTATAAATGTAAGTTATAGTATAACTGTATTAGATGTAAAATATTAAACGAGATAAATATTTTATATCTAGTGCAGTTTTTGCAGAGTACAGGCTGCCAGCTGCAGGGTATCTAGTTAGTCGCGCTATTAGCATAAGCTTACCCATAATTTTCAATTGTTTTTTGTTTACCTTTCATGGCTCCATTTTGAATGGAGGGCAAAATATTGTTATTTATTTATTTCGGCGCTAATTTTAATTTGATTTTCCATTCCCAGCGAAGTTTAGACTGAACAAAGTGAACGAAGTCTGGCAGTACCAAAAAAAAAGAAGAAGAAGAAGAACAAGTACAAAGAGTGTGAAGAGAGATAGAGGGAAAGAGACATAGAGAGATAGAGGGAGGGAGATGGTAGCCAACATATATGTATGTATGTATGAATGGCATGTGAAATGACTTTATTTGTGTCAACAAAACTCGAAAACGAAACTCGAAAACAAAACCAAGATAAACAGCATTTTATTCGCATTGTTGATCAACAGCAGCCACAGCGCCAGCAGCAACAAACAGCCAAAGAAACAACAACGGCAACAGCAGCTGGCAAACAACATTGAACAACAATTGACATCACGCATACGCCGCGTTTGACGCCGCAACAAATTTGTGCGCTGCAAAACGCAGCAATTTTTGTGTGTTAATTGGTCGTGGCGAATGGGTAAGTGAAATTTCTTGTTTGTTTCACACTCGACTTAAGTACGCATACAAACGCACACACACACACACACACACACTTGCACACGCAGACTCACGCACATGAGCTTTTCCTTTCTATCAATTTAGCCAAACAATTTCACTGCGAACAATTTCACGAACAATTTGCAAACGAGACGTGAAATAATTCATATAATTTGAATTTGATTTTTGTGCACGCGGATCGGTTCACAATATGAAAACGTATGGAATGTGTTTGGTAAAGAGTTCTAACAGCTTTGAAACAAAATTGAATAATTAGGCAAAGTTAGATAATCTACTGTATTACAATATCCATATAATATCTGGCATGAAACCAAATTATGAATTGTAGTGCTTAAGAGTGTCTGAGGACCAGATGTGATCGAGTAAATGACATGCCATTCGGTTAAAATAATATTCGATTAGAAAACAGATAAGAACATCAAATAAACTAATCGATATTTATCGATTTTATACATAGTTAAAACATGCTAATCTATTTTTTCAAACTGTAAGCCAGGTTTTACTATTTGAGCATAGAATCTGATTATGATATATGTAGCTCTAGTGGCAGAGATTGCAACTCGATAAATAGCTTGATCGCTTATAAGAAAATGTGCTAAATTCTTTATTGAATATAATATATTACTATATCGAAAAGAATGTGTAATTAAAAAAAATTTTTTTTTTCATATACCTAACCCGATTTACCACTAATCGGAAAGTTTCATGTCGATATATATCGATTTTTAATGGACGCAGTTAAGCTTTGCTCCAAATAAAGCTAGATTTAGGTATTCATTAAAAAGCAAATTTAATTTCCCTGTGCTTAGACACATTTTCTCTAAATATAGTTTCGTAAGCTCTATATTATATATTAAATTTCATACAGATTCCTGCCTTCGATAATAATAATATCGATAATTCGATAATAATAATAATATTTATCGATTACATAGAAGTCATTGATTTTCTTGGTTAAAAGCAAACATCAGTTATAAGTCCACTTGAGCTCTTAATATTTTCTATTGCTAATCCTAAGCTCTTCTAGTTTTCGGCTTCCTACCGGCAGTTCGATAAACTATGCCTAGAATCATTTGTTTGCTTAAGAACATTCCTATATATTGTTGCTCTTTAATTAGATATACTTATAGCTGGAAATTAGATATGACAACCCTTCCGGTTCCCATTACATAATTAATTAAATCCTCAATCACATTTTTTGCCGTCGTTTGTGAACGAAAGTTTTTGCCATTTAGAAGTTGTAATTTTAGTATAATAGTAAATGCATTTCGATAGCTCTTGTTGAGATTTTTTTGCTGCCTTTGTTGTTTGATTGGCCATCGAGTGAGTGTGTCTTTGTAAGCAAATGTTTATTCAATTAAACAAATTGTTTGGCTTGGCATTTTCATTAACAATTTCTATGACTGTTGGTTGCGATTGCAATTTAATTTCATGATGGTTTTTGTCTCGTTATCCAATAACCAAAAATCATTTCAGCCTATTCGATTCAATTGCCATTACACATATGTGAAGAGCGTGAGAGCGAGAGAAAGATAGAGAGAGAGAGAACTAGATTGAAATAGAAATATTTAGAATTGCAAATGCTGACATATAAATAGCATAAATTCTTGCTATGCATCTGAACTAATATCCGAACACTTTACTATGCATATGTCTATATATATATGTCTATAAATATATCATTTATATCTACATAAACGTATATATATGAACTGCTGTCAACCATTTGACATTTGTTTCATATTCATTGTCATATTTGTATTCTGCAATTGATATTCTTGTTTTTTTTTTGTTTTTTGTTTTTTGTTTTTTTTGTATTCATATACTTAAACAGCAATCATATGAAAATTAATAACAATTATTTCGAGTCGAGTGTTTGTTTTATATCTTTATCAAATTTAATATTTTTTGCTTTTTTCATTTTATCGGTAATAATGTGAATAATGGGGAAAATGCAATGCGATAACAAGTAGCCTAATTGCTATTGGATATGGAATTTCAAGCAGAGCTATTTTAGAGTCTATCAATCATATCATATATGATATATGATCATATATGTATAATCATAATCATGATTTGTAAATCCTTAGGAAAGAAATTTTAAACAGTGCTAATGACTAAACTTGCGAAACTCAAGAAGTTAATGTAAAACCATTATACAGTCGAGTCTCGATAATTCTTACTCTGATAAATCGAAAAAAAAAAAAATCTATCCACTTGAAGAAAATTCGTTCTCCATAATTCTTGATGATTTGAATTCCCCTTGCCATTTCGAACTATCGGGATTCTACTGTACTTGCATTATATTTCCCATTTTCAATGAGTTCAATATGGCATAAAATCTAACATTTCAAGTAGTTCCACAACTAACATAGATATATGTATGTATGTATATACAGTGCATAACATAGCTAATATTTAGTAGCTTGAGTAAATGATTACTATTTAATATTACTACAGAAATATATATACGTATGTCTTTTATTATTTTCTGCATATGAAGCGAATATGCAACTACAAATTGGAGGCGAGCAGAGGAGGGCGGGCAGAGCTTGCCACAAAAGTCAGCGAAGCATTCAAAATGCCTGTCAATTATCACGCTAAAAAAAGAGCTTGAAAAAAAAGCTGAAAAATGGCTGAGCCTATAAATAAATATATGTATTAATAATTGCAATATATATCAAATATACACATAAATCAGCTGTGCGTGAAGAGTTTGCCACGTGTGTGTGTGAGTGTGTGTGCATTATGCTTATAATTAAATCAAAATAGATATATGCATGTATGTACATATACACATACATACATATACACATACATACATATACACACATATATATATGAAGTCAACTGGCAACTGCCAACTGCAGTTGAATTTCGCAGCGAAATTCAAATAATAATTTCTGTGTAATCTAACTAAAATGTTATTGTTCGCTCGCTGCTGCAAAGCCTTTTCAATTCAATTTGCCATTTTCCTTTTCTGTTGTTGTTGTTGTTTTTTACTTTTTTATTGATACGTAAAGTTGGATTATATTGCGGTTATAACCCTAATTTGCCATTGATCTAATTTGAATGCCTGAATAACTCTTGATCTGGGTTGAATTGACAGTTGACAGTCGGAATTAAATATAGAAATTGTCAAAAGCCAAAGCTTTATAGTTTGTTGTCAAATTTAGGTCCCGATGTAACTAAATTGATTAAAATTGGACTTGAAATAACTTTGCGTTCATGTTTTGTAATCCCAAAAAAACGGCAAAGTCTTCGTATGCATAATAAACGATATGAGGGGGGCCCTAACCTGATGACGCGCAGTGTATTTCAGCAATTATATTTAAATTTAAACGAAGTTTACTGAAAAAGGTTGTTAAACTTTGGTCAGGATAGCGCCCCACAAAATCAATTGCGAATTTATGCCCTAGACCCTATTTGTCTTATCCTACATGTCCATTTATTTATAGCTCTATATGCTATTTCAAGTAATCTATATCTACATATCTAAGGGCCAAACACTTCGCCTACTAAGTCAATAACCTTCTCATGAAGACTCTTCCAAACTGCAGCAATATATTGAATCCTTTAATTTACGCTCTCAAAATCCTCGCTATCCTCGAGTAGAGCACTACTCTTTGTTTATTATATGACATTATAGATGTGAAAGTAGATTCCCTCTGGTCAGAGCGTACATTTTCAATTACAATGGGCTCGCAGACTTCACTCTTCTCTTTTTGCGTTTCTCCAAACACTTTCGCTCTACTTTGTTAACTCAAGACAGTTTAACCGACACCCACACGCCCACCCGCCTCTACACACGCAAGCACACCCACACACAGAGACAGACAGGCAAAGCAACAAGCTTTCGTTTATAATTCGCAAGTGGTTTAAGCGCAGAGCGAGACAAGTGGCTTGCATGCAAAATGTTGATGAATAACCGACATAAAAAGTAACTCTATTTGTTGTTGTTGTTGTTGCTTTTGATTTAGCTTTTGATAACAAAGTTGAGGCAGAGGTAGAGGCACAGGCACAGGCACACACAGGGGCACATATATAAAGCTCGAGCTTAGACAACTTTAGTTGCCAGGCAATCAGTGGAAAGGATAGCGAACGGGTCAGAGGGCAAAGGGCAAAGGGCAGCGGGCAGCGGGGAGTGGTCAGCGGGCTGGGTAGGGACTTACGGCTACCTGGCTAAGCGCTTTAAGCCTTGACAGCAACAAAACAGATTGCCACGCCTGTCAGGCCTTTGATTTGCCACAGCTTTGCTGCTCTGAGCAGCTGTATCCACACTTTGCCCCAGCACCACTTTGTTGCTCCAGCTACCGTTATACATACGTACAGCTCTTCTTCTCCTGCCCTCCTCGTCTTTTTTTCTCACTTCATCAAATTGACTTGGACAAAGTCTGGCCCCTAAATGCGCAAACACATGTTCTCAATAAAGTTGTGTGTGTGTGTGTGTGTGTGCGGGTAACGTACGTATTTGCATCTATTAGTGTGCGTGTCAAACATGAGCCACAACGTGATGCCGACACGGAGCCAAAGCTCGACAAAAACTTTTGCCTTTCGTTCTCATTCTCATTCTCATTCTTCTTCTCATTCCCAGGCGCCACCCGCTCTGGCCCTGACAAGGGACTGGGCCAAAAGTTAATGCTGGCCAACAGCTGGCAAATAAATACACATCTATAAATATGCGTATGTTATATTTCTATTTGGCCCGAATTGTGAATGCGATGCAAAAATGCTCCAACAAAACTTTGAGCAGCCGCCAGAAACAGAATCAATCCTTCAGCTGAAATACACTGCATATGAAATACATTAAAGTAGGGTATTATGGCTAAATTCCAGGTGCGCTTAAATAGAAGCGGGCCTAGTCAAGTTCTATAAATAAACATCAAGTTGTCTAGCTGAATGATATATTTAAATACATTTTTTAAATAGTCCTCCAACTGAAGTTCGAGACCTTCTTAG